AAAAAAACCTGTAGAAATTGTGTGTTCTTTTGTTAATCTCTTTCAATGGATATTTAAGGAGTGGAAAATACTATAAGGACAAATTAAGACACATGTAATTTTTAATAAATTCATTTTATCTGCAGTTTTTCAAAAAACTAACTCAGAAGGTCTTTGCTGAAAGCACAGCTCTATTTCTAAGACATAATGTACAACTGAAATGGCTCAAATAAATTAAGCATTTCCTACTTGACACATTTAAAAATTACCTCTGCATAGTAACTACACTAAGCTCACAAAAAATATATATTTTTTTTGTTTTCACTTTCTTTTACACTTTAGTAGTAATTAAGTAAAAACAAGCAACATTTTGAAATTGAACACAGCTCATATTCTTACAGAATTGATTTCTGTAACTATTTCAAATTAACCAGCTTTATTGTTAACACTACTTTCTGCATGTTACTAGTTCACAAGCTATCTTTAAAAATCAGATATTCATAAATTATTTAAGATAATGCATACAAATATATGCATGCATAGAAGACACTTAAAAGTACACACTGAATTATTCAAATATCCCAAATGTGTTCATGCTAGCCTCACTAGATAATGGCATTTCTGATACTGCTTTATGACTTTTTTATCTGAAGACATAAAATAGCTGGAATGTGAAAAGAATCTACAGGTAAATATTATGAAAGTACCTTTGAATATAAATGCTGTATATTTAAATTGATGGAAATCCTGAAAATGATACTATTCCTTTTTCCTTCAGCCATTTTACCATCTGATTTTATTTGTAATAATACATTTCAACTCATGGGTCATTTTTAGCACTGGACCTTTGGGTTGTTCTGTAACCTACAGAAATGAATCTGCTGGTTTCAGAATTTAATACTAGACTCTTTGATGATAAATTAAATAAGACATAAACATACTTTGCTTTTTTTTTCTTGGCTTGTCCAAATCCTGCCATTCCTCAAAGCTCTGCTTATACCATTACTCCTACAAATGTAGTCTCAAGTCCAGTGAACTCAGAGTAGTTAGGATTTATCTCACAATTTGCCACATTACAGCAATGACACTTTTTTTCCCTCATATTATTTAACTTTTATGGACTCTTGCTATTTCATACAGATTGTAAGTTCCTAGAAGTTGGAGGAAATGTTTTATTCATCTTTGTTTCCTATCAGCATTTTTCCCCATGTCTTGCTCAGAGCAGGTCCTTAATAAATGTACATTGAGTCATTGATCAGTCTGCCACTGCTGTCATGAAGAATGAGTCTGAGTCCTGCACACAGAAGTGAAGTTTCTACCACTTAAAGAGATGATCAGAACCAACAAACCACAGTCTGTCCCTCCATGTTTAGCAGATATAGCCTGATATCTAGTACTGACAAACAAAATTTACATAAAATGTTAGACAACTACTTAAAATGACAGACAACTATTTAAAACTACATGCTTGCTTTCAATTACCTGCTTTTGCTTTTTTTAAAAAAAACTATTTTTGCAAGTAATTTTAAGTGTCAAGTAATTATTGCTTTTGGATTTGACTGCAGTTTTAGTTTCCAAATGGGAAAAAAAGCATAACATTTTCCAACGGTGCTGGGTTCTAGCCTATCACTGGGCTCCAAGTTCATTTAATCTTTTCACCTCTGACTGTTCTACTTGTAAACAGTTAAAATGTCAAATGATGATTGCACTGGTGCCCCAGTATTCTTTTCAGGAAAGGAAAGTACACAGAAGAGTTACATGTAGCCTTTTGTTGCTGTTTAAGTAAAGTTGGTAGACTTTCAAAATGCTGTACAAAGCAAGGATCATGGACACAGAGAGTCTCAATTTTGCCTTGCTGGAGGCAAGAAAATACATTTCTTTCTAGAATTCAAATCTTTTTTACCAATCAACTGTAAACATTGCAAACATTAGTGGCATATGTTAGATTTTAGTAACACACAGGAAAGAATGTCAATAAATTAAAGCTAATTATCCAATTTACCACACTGTTTTATAATTCTAACACTGTTGGCCTAATTTTAGACAATGACAATGAAACTGTTCCTAAAGGTGCAGAAGCACAAAGTGCACAGTTGTTGGCAATCTTCACGTTCCATGTCTTGAGATTCATAACCCTGAGTACCTAAGAAGACTGTGCTGTTTACTCACCCCACCTATGAAGGAAGGTTTAAATTCTGAAAGTTACTTGACCACTCAGTACAAATACATAATAACTTACATCAAACAACTATGTAATATTGTCTATGAGTCAGAACATGTGTAAGTATAAAACCATCTTCAGTATAAATGGCCAATGTGGTTGCATATAAAATATCTCCTTTCATTGACTTTATTGACCTTGAACTAAAATGGCATGAAACATTGTAATACTCAGTAATAAAAGCAGTGAATAATTATAACACTTACTAATATTTGCCATAATTCACAATATAAAAGCATCATTTACGTTCCCTTTCTTATTTATTCATCAAAAAAGCAGAGCTAAAGCAATCATTAATTGTTGTCCATTTTTGCTAGCCCACAGAAAAGAACACAGGAAGTTAACTGACATTTCGTAGGTCACTCAACCCACAGCAGTGTGGGAAGAGCACCAGTCTTCCAGAGCCTGCACAAGAAAAGTACATACTCACCAAACTACAAAGTGAGGGCACAGGGCTATTAAAAGGATATCATAAATAGATAGGACAAGGGAAATATGTGAGACAAATCCAGAAAAAAAACAACTTATGAATGATAAATTTGTTCTTATGAAAATAGTGAGAAATAAATATTTCAACTATGGAATTAAACGTCAGTCAAGATGCAAATTGTATAAAAGCCAAAGAAATATTCACACATACAAAAATGTTTTAATTTGCTTTGAGACAAAATCCATCTCTGTATTTGTGAGATAACGATGTAAGTTAGTACTAACTTGAACTGTCAGGTCACTTTCAGGATTTAAGAAAATAAAACCAAGGTAAAATATAGTGATGGTACTCATTCACTAATAAAAACTACAGACAATTTGGTATCTAAACCAGCAGAGTTGTCTTAGGCATTTTTTATATCTGTGTTTCAGATGACAGACCTGGAGTTCATGTCACCTTTTCCTAATAAAAGTAGCTATCCACTGAGGCTGATTCTTCCTTCATTTTCCTAGAATTATTATATAATACCACAGCTATTTTTTCCAAACAAATATAATAAAAATTAAAATTGTTCTTGGAAAAGCGTCAACAAGATGATCACATAAGGAAACAAGTAAAGGAAAAATAAGAACAAGATAAGAAATATTAATGCAATCAAAATATTCTCAAATCTACAAATTGAATTTTAATGCTAAATAGTGATATATATTAGTGTATGCTTTTGTATTTTTCCATACCCGATTTAAGGAGAAGTCTTAAGTAGTCAATTGATACCCACAATTTTGCTATTGTTGATTGTTCATGAGGGCAAGAGACTTATGTATTCTACCAGAACATGGAACACTAAAACAAAACCCAAACAAATTTGTCCAAGTTAATATGACTTGCTGGGTTGGGTGGAGCTTATGTTAGGGAGGTGTTTTGGACAACAGGAGCTATTACAGGGATATTGTAGAGAAAAAGAAGAGGATTATTTTGTCTGGTACATTTGGACTCACAATTATTTTAGTTTATCGACTTCTTTTTTATACAATGATAATCACCACATAAAGACAATAGCATTCATATCCTCATTTTTTTAGTGCAGCTAGGGTAATAAGTATGACTTCATCACAACTCTACTATGCTCTACCAATGTGAGGGAAAAGAGAAGAAAAAGAGGAAAATAACTGATGACTTACATATAAATACTTTTCATGACACTTTTAGTGAAGTAAGTCATGACTTACATATAAATACTTTTCATGACACTTTTAGTGAAGTAAGTCTGCATTTAGCTCAAAAACACTAAATCTAAAAATCAGAGCTTAGTGTATAAATTGAACATATCTGAAATATGCAATCTAATTTTTAAATTTATATTGTCCATTGTTAACTTGTACTTGAAAATTGCACTTTCACATTGAAAAGTGAAACTCAAATTAAGTAACACAATGCCCACAATCTTTTAAGTATATTTTATTTATAATATTCTCCCCAAAATTTAAGAATGATTTGTCCCATGCACACAAACACAAGCACATGATTATACTCAAACATCAAGATAGATCTCAGATTGTAAACTGAAGGTAAAAAATGCAACACTCAATGTTGGGATATTTTGAAATACTTGCACATCATAATTATCTTAGACTCAAAGAGATAATTAAGCTGTAGCAATGTGTCTGATCTAGATATAAGACTTCCCAGAGGGAATTTTAAATAGTCTTTATACTTAAATGAGGTATTGTTTTAATTTTATAAGTAGAAACAATAAACAACACATACTATCGAAACAGACTAATATGAAGAGTGATTTGTTAAAAAATTTAATCCCTAATTTAAAAAGTTTATGCAATTACTTTTTTAACTTGTGCATTTACCCTACAACTAAGACATGTGTCACTTCATGTCTGGAACTAGCTTGTTTTGTAGAGGTTCAAGGTAATTCATTGAAAAGAAACATCAGGGATGGTTTGTGGTTACAGTGGATGCCTAAAAATACTGTTATTGTAATGGCTTTGGGTAACTGAGTGACTTTTTTGAAATAATGTTGTATTGTTCTGCTTCTTTTTCACTTTGCTACTATGACTCCATACTGAAATAATGAAGGTTTTTATTTGCTATGAACAAAGAAGCATCATAATGCAGAAGCATGAGTTATGAATGCAGATATATTGATGTAAAATGGTAGAAAAGGAAAACAACAGCTTTTACCTCACAGGGCTGTTGGAAGAATCTGGGTCATGAGCTGCCACTGTGCCAATGATATTCCCAACTTGGGTGGCTTCTGACACCTCCATAGGGTACAGGGGTGAAGAAAACACGGGGGGCTCATCCACATCCTCCACAATTACCTTCACAGTTGTGGTGTCACTGAATGGCCCCAAGCTCAGAAAGCGAGGGTCAGCATCTTTATTTGCAGCTTCTATGCGTAGCGTGTAACTTGTTTTGGCTTCAAAATCCAGTTCCTGTAAAGAAAGTTATTAGGGAAATTAAATTACCAATTAGATAGTCAGCAAAGCAGAGCCTTTTCATTTATGAACGTCAATAAACATGGAAAGGACTTTGCCATGAAAATCCACTGTCAGCATTCAAAAATAATAAGCAATTATGCCAATCAGAATCCTTGCTGCTTTTCTGGTGCATAGACAGTGGCAAGTGCTTTTGAGCTAACTTAATCCACTCTGCTGCCATACAGTGTGTTGACAGATGCAAGTCTTCAGAACATTCATTGAAACTCATCTGATCAGGTTCAAACTTATTTTCCAACAACACATCAAGGTAAAATTCTTCAACCATGTAATTCACCTGCAAAACTTAGAGGTGCACATTAAAAAGGAAGAAAAATGTAGCTTTCCATTCAATTTTTCATTTAAAAGGTCAGTGATGTGGGAGAATACCTTGGGATGCTGAGCTGTCAGCTGTTTAAAATGCAGGGTCAGTGGATGAAGCAGGTGGAGGGGAGGAAGGATACAGTATATCTAGACTGAAAACACAATTATTATTCTCCATGGAGCACCATCCTTTCTATCTTTATTACTTCCCCATCAATAAACACATTCTTTCTATACTTATGTTAGATAGATGATACATATACCAGACCCTTTATTATGTATCTAATTTTCCAAGAGGATTAACAATGCCAAAAAGTTCATCAAACATAGTGACTGGATCAAACCCTAAGGGAGCTCACAATGACTTAAGGCTATTAAATGTTTCTGCTCAATACCATCTGTGAAAAAGATAAGAATTATATACACAACACGTAGAAGATGTTTGCAACAGTAATGTGCTTCTCTTTCTCCAATAGATGCAGAACGTAACAGCATTCTTTATGACTTTCAGTCTTCTATCTCACTGAAAGTTGCCCAGAATGCTCTAGATTTAATGTAAGGACAAAGTAATTAAAATCAATAATTATGTGTATTTATAATGTGTATATGTGTGTTGTGCTATTATGTTATTTTATGCAAAATGTACCCATTATATAACTTATATATGCACATAAAGAAATATATATCCTCTTTTTTATTTATGTAACTATATTTTAAAACTTTTTTTGAATGATATCAGACTCTTTTTAGGATGAGTTGGAATTTGTACCTATGTATGTACACATCTGTGTCTATGTATAGAGTGGGTGAATTTGCATTGCATTTTTCAGCCTTACCTCTTAGATCACTTTTATCCATGCATTTTTGTTTTACTTACGAGTGAATAAAGAGATTTCATGTCTCATCTCTGGTTAATACTGGGGGGAAATACATAAATCAATGCACAGTATAGGTTTACAATATCAAGAGCAGAGAGTACATGCTGTCTCATCCAATAGATCTGAAACCCAGATTGCTTTGTTCATTGCTATTATTCACAGCACTTATGTTTCTTTTGGTACAGAGAAGAGACTCAACAAATTCTTGTTGAATTAGAGCAAAAATAAATAGAATACAAATAATTTTAGCTAATAAGTTTTAAAATTTAACTCTACTTCTGACCCAGAATTCTGAGTCATAGGCACACACACACACACACACACACACACACACACAAAAGCAACTTCATAAAATTGCTCAAGTAAAAAGTTTGAAATCTTATCTGAGGTTTCCTATAAAAAACTGGGACAGATGATAAACATTATCATAAACAGCACCTTATTAACAAATTCAGTGATGTTTTATGAGCCAACTTTGTTTATAATGGTAGACCACAGGGAGCAGCCCAGTGGTTTCCAAGCAAAGGGAAGAATCAGAGGTATCTGTGGGGACTTTCTAACACACCTGGCCCCTTCCTACAGGACTTGACCAAGCAGACCCCAGTTGAGGCACAAGCATATGTATTTTTAAAGGACCCCTCAGGTAATTTTGGTGAAAACACTCTTTTAAGAAACTTAACCTAGCCCTTGAAACTTTCCTGAGTCTATATATAAAATTCAACATTTATATTGCAAAATGCTAATAGTAAGGTAAACTATTTTTATTAACCTAAAAACATTTACTGAGAAACATAAGCATACATGTAAACAGTTTGGATAGTAGCCTCAGCTTAATCTTATATTCCTTATAAATATGAGTAATTATAAGAGAAAATTTATATACTAATATTATGTGCCTATATTTAATGTGTCCAAAAATGTCCTATTTACCAACTGCTTTCAAATCATTGTAAACCCCCAAAGATCTTTAAGATACATGTTTAGGCTTTTCCACATTATCAAAAGGAATATTAAGTATTTCAGCATTAGAATAAAAGTTTGCCTCACTTATGAAAGAATACTTTAAAATTTATTACAGAAGTGAATGCAATTATTGTGCAGCAACTTTTTTAAAAACATGTCTGGAAGGCAGCAACATGAAGTATAGACATCTGGATGCTAAAAAGTCATGTAGAAACATAGAATCAGATGTGATGATTGGTTGCCTACAAGCTATTATGAAAATAGAGCAATAAAAGAATTCATATGAAAGGTTATGAATCTAGATTGTACACAAAAGACTTATGTAAAAGTATCTTCAAAGCATATGACAATAAGCTAGAGATCTAGTTTTCAAAACAGTGTTGTGAAGGAAAGGATTGTTAAACAAATTGAAAATATTTTTGCAATAAAAACATAATTTCTATTTTCCTCATTATTAGTTCCTAAATGAGTAATGCATCCCAAAACTATTGGATTTAATTATCAGAGTTATACTTCAGAAATTGGAAGTAACAGTTGAGGAAAGGTACAGGAGGAAAAAAAGAAGGAAAATAAAAATAATGTCCAACCAGACTGTCTTTGATGTTTGAAACTACATATAATCGCAGACAATATATATTTGGAATTTTTAACCAACACAGTGTTACACTGTGGCCCACAATAGAAAGCCATAAGTAGGACTGATAAGACTGTAAATGAAATATGAGTCACAAAGGCACACTTGTGAAGCCACTGAGCCTGTGCAGGACTTGTAGACACTGCTTTTTCCTATGTCAAGTGACATCAATTGCAGAGATGCACAAAAGAGAGCAGAAGCAGTTTGCATCCAAACTATAAAAGAGAGTTCTTCAAAATTATTGTTAGCAATGAAGATAAAATTTAGTATTTAAATAAAACTGTATCTGAGGCCAGGGTCTGCAAGTTTCCTGCAGAGGGCCAAACAGTAAATGTTAGCTGGGCAGCCCATGATTTCCCAGCTGCAGGTAAAGGAAGGAAATAGTTTTACGCCAATAATTCTTCATAGATAAACACTGAGATTTAAATTTTATATAACCTTCTTGTAGCCCAACACATTCTTCTTGTGATTTTTATCAATTACTAAAAAATATAAAGTTATTGCCGATGGGTTGGATAAAAACAAGCAGGTAGTTGCTTGCCCACCTTGACTGAAAAATTCCAAAATGATAAGGCTAATTCCAGGTCTTGCATGAATAATATCCATACTATCTTTTTAGACTAAATGCTCATCTCTCTCCCTTCAGTGCATGAACTACTCACTATAAATAGCACACAGTGTCCCTTCCAACATACACCACCTGCTATTCCCTCTTTCTTGTGGCATTCATTTTATTGCAATCTTTCTTTCTTGTTTTTTTTTTTTTTTTTTTTTGGTGGTACTGAGGCTTGAATTAAGGGCTTTGTGCATGCTAGCATGCTATGCAGGTGTTCTACCACTGTAGCCACTCTGCCAGCCCTTTTTTATGTACGTTTTTTGAGATAGGGTCTCATGAACTATTTGCTGTGGCTGGCTTGCAACCGCAATCCTCCTGATCTCTGCCTCCTAAGTAGCTAGGATTATAGGCGTGAGCCACCAGTGCCCAGCTTTATTGCAATCTTTTAGAGACCACTGTCTTCTTTATGAATGGTTCCATAATCCCCTTACCAAGGTGATATCAGAACTTCTTTACATTAAGAGTTATCTATGAACAAGTAATTTTTGCACATATCTTTAAAATATATTTTAAAAACTGAAAGGTTAGTATTTGTTTTGAGTTGTATAGCTATATTCTCTAATGCCCAAAACAATAGCCTTAAGAGATGGGGCCTTGATTAGAATTTCAGAGTGGCAACTTCGTTGTCTCATAAATGCCCTCATAAATGTTCTCTGGCTTTGGTGAGGACATAGTGAGAAGAGCCAGGAGAAAGGCTCTCACCAGAAACTGAATCTACTTTGATTTTGGACTTCCCAGCTTCTAGATCTGAGAAAAATATATTGTTGCTGTTTAAACACCCAGTCTATGGTATTTTTGTTACGGCAGCAGTACTTTTGTTAAAAAGCAGTACTTTTTAATTGTTCAAAATTCAATAAACAGAGAATTCTAGAGAAAAATCAAAAAGTCCATGTTGAAGGGGCAGAGACTCCATGTGGACTCATGGTGTTAACTTTCTGCTCTAACACACAGGCATTCTTCAAGCTCTAACAGCAATTAGGGTCTCGTATCGTATGTTACCATCTCTAGGAAATTGCCTAGATCATCAAACTCAGGAGGTAGTAAATTATTTGGAAGTATATTTCACCTAGAACTGTTTCTAACAGAGAATATAAATATTTACTGTTATGTAGTTATTATGCTTTTATGCTGTTCTAACAATCTTTAAAATTATTTCTGCACAATTATGAACAAATAGAAAATAAAGATTACATCTTGTCTGAACAAGACGCCAGTAACTACAACAAAAATCAAATTTTAAAAGAAAAAGACAAAATATTTTTTAAAAAAAGCATAATAAAGACTATATCATTTGTTTCCTGTCTCATCCTAAGTCTATATTTGACAAAGTAAGCTTATAATATTTGTTGTTGAATTCTTTTTAAAAAAATTGTCAAAAGTTCCCCTTGTCATTTTTAGCTTTTCAATAATAAAATCTCGGTCAAAGTGTTAGTGCATCCATGTGATAAAATCATTGCACTGCATTTTTTTCTGCTTCCATATACCTTGGCTTCAGGTCTGTGGCCAAAAATACTTGCATTAAACTCAAAGGCCTTCTTTTAGA